TTCAGGTTTGGCCATGTTCCCTCACTTGTGGTCATGCTGGCCCTTTTTCTCCTGTGATGTTACATTTGTATTGTGTGCAGTATCTTTCTACTTGGCTCTCCTAATTATACCCATTTTTGTCACTGTTGTTTTCAGTCCTCATTGAAGTATTTCCTATTCAGTTGCTTTTTAACCATTGCTAGAGTGTTGAAATGTGATAAATCTTCCTTCCTACACAGCTGCCTCCCCCCCCCCCAATTCTTTCTTTCTTTTTTGTTTCATGTTGTGAACCTTTAAATATTTGGTCAGTCTCTTTTACTGCTGGAGAGAAGTTGTGCAGTGACCACGTAATGTTGAAATTGATGAAGAATAACGTCTGGTCCTCCATGTTAGGAGAGATCTCTGATTTAATTGGCAAAAAAGATGAGCATCAAAACCATGGGAGATGTTTGAGGTGAGTGTTATTCAAATAAGAGAAAACGATGACTGACAGAGTAAACCATAAGGTGTCATGACATTAAAATAAACACATCTGTATTTGTATACATATAACTGGACTTTGAAGCACTTTGTAGCAGTTCCGTAATTGCCTGGCTAAACAAGGGCAACCTATGTGCTGCCTAGGAACCAAATCTGTTTGCCGTTGGATTTTGACCCCAGTAAGGAGCACTCCCACTACTTGCCTGTCAGTTCATCGTACCGGATGGTTTGCTTATTGCTATGAGGGTGGAGGCAATGGCACTGGTATTTCAGATACTAGCATGGTCATCCATAGTGAACAGGTTTCAGTGAGTATCTAGCCTAAGACAGATGGGGAGGAAAGAAAGGGCCATCCACTTCTCAAAGAATTGGCCAGTGAAAACCTTATGAATAGGAGTGACACACTGTCTGATATATTAATGGAAAACTTTATGAATAACCTTGAAACATTATCTGATATGTTACCTGAAGATGAGAGGTCCAAACCCTCAAAATAAGATTGGAGAAGAGCTCCTTCCTCAAATGAGAGTCGATCTTAAAGACATGGTTGGAATAAAGTTCTCAGAGCCTTCACTTGGTGATGTCACATGACTCAAAATGGGAAGAAACATTTGAAAACATCCATTAATCATCAGACCATGAGATGTACAAAGTATGAATGTAGGAAAACTGAAGTCAAAAATTAGATGCAATGCATAAAGATGCATATATTTTGCATTAGTGAGCTAAAATGGACTGGTACTGGCCATTTTGAGTCAGATAATCATATGAGCATCTATACCAGGAATGACAAATTGAAGAGGAGTGGTGTGGCATTCATTATCACAAAGAATGTTTCAAAATCTATCCTAAAGTACAGTACAGTCACTCACTTGTTGGAAGACATAAAGAACATCAGACAAAAAGAAAGCAAAAAGTATTTAAAAAGACAGGAAAGTAAAAAGTGGATGTTAGAAGTCTCTGAGTTTCATTATTGAAAGATTCTGTGGGCAGAATATTGAATGATGCAGGAAACATCAAAAGAAGATGGAAGAAATACACAGAATCACTGTACCAGTAAGAACTTGTAGCTCTTTGTCCATTTCAGGATGTGGCATATGATCAAGAATCAATGGTACTGAAGGAGGAAGTCGAAGCTCCAATGAAGGAATTGGTGAAGAACAGGGCTCAAGGAATTGATGGAATACCCATTGAGATATTTCAAGAAAGAGATTCCCCACTGCAGGGACTTACTCGATTATGCCCAGAGATTTGGAAGACAGCTATCTGGCCAACTCACTGGAAGAGATTCATATTTGTACCCATTCCAATGAAAAGGGATCCCACAGAATGCAGAAATTATTGAACTATATCATTAAAATCGTACACAAGTAAGATCTTCCTGAAGATAATTCCAAAGTGGTTGCAGCAGAATATTGACAGTGAACTTCAAGAGGTGCAAGCTGGATTCAGAAGAGGATGCAGAACAAGAGATATCATAGCTGCTGTAAGATAGATTTTGGCTTTCAGCAAAGAGTACCATAAAAATATTTACTTGTGTTTTATTGACTATGCAAAGACATTTCTTTGTGTGGATCATAACAAATTGTGGATAACATTGACAAGAATGGGAATTCCTGAAGACTTAATTGTACTCATGATGAACCGGTAGATTGACCAGGAGGCTGTCATTCGAACAGAACAAGGGGACACTGCATTGTTTACAATCAAGAAGGGAGTGTGTCAGGGTTGTATCCTTTCCCCATACTTATTCAATCTATTTGCTGAGCAAATAATCTGAGAAGCTGGACTATATGAAGAGAAACAAGGCATCACAATTGGAGGAAGAATCATTGAGAACCTGGGATATGCTGATGACACAACTGTGCTTGTTGAAGGGAGGATGACTTGAGGCACTTACTAATGAAGATTGAAGAATACAGTCTTCAGTATGGATTATACCTCAATGTAATGAAAATAGAAATCCTCAGAACTGCAACTATAAGGTGCATCATGTTAAATCAATAACAGATTGAGGTTCTCCAAGAATTCACATTTCTTGGTTCTACATTTGACGCCAATGGAAGCAGCAGTCGGGACATTAGACAACATATAGCATTGGGCGTATTGGCTGCAAAGGACCTCTTTCAACTGCTGAGGAGCAAAGATGTCTCCTTGAGGACCAAGGTGCACCTGACACAAGTCATGATATTTTCACTCAACTCATACGCATTTGAGAGCTGGACAGTGAATAAGGAAAACCGAAGAAGAGTTGATGCTTTTGAGTTGTGGTGCTGGCGAAGAATACTGAAAGTACCATGGACTGCTAAAAGAGCTAACAGGTCTGGCCTGGAGCAAGTACTGCCAACATGCTCCTTGGACGTGAGAATGGCCAGACTTCATCTCACCTACTTTGGGTGTTGTCAGAAGGGACCATTCCCTGGAGAAGGATGTCATGCTTGGTAGGGTGGAGGGCCGACGAATGAGGGAAAGGCCTTCAACGAGATGGATTGAGACTGTGGCTGCAACAGTGGCTCCAATAAAGCAAGGATCATGGAGCTGGCACAGGACCGGGTGTTGTTTCATTCAGCCGTGCACGGGGTCTTTGTGAGTCGGAAATGATTCGACATCACCTAACAACATGCATATGAAAGCTGGACAATGAATAATGAATACGGTAGAATAGTTGATTCTTTTGAATTATAGTGTTGGTGGACAATGCTGCAAATATGATGCTCTTTGGTATTGAGACGGCCCAGATGTCATCTCCTCTTATGAGGTCCTGTTTTCAGAAGGGACCATTGCCTGGAGAAGGATGTCATGCTTGCTGAACTGGAGGGTCATCAAGAGAGGGGAATACTGTGAAGAAGAAGGATTGACACATTGGCGGCAATGATGGGTTCAAGTATAGCAAGGATTGTGAGGCTGGCTGTGATGGTTATATTTGTATGTCTACTTGGCTAGGCCTGGTTGAATGGCTGGGCAGCTGGATGTAGTATTCCCCATGATGATACTGGTAATCAACTCCATGGTGGAAGTTACTGGGAGCAGCTGACTAGCTGCCTTTGGGTATGTGGTCTGCTTCCTGTATATAAGGAGAAGCTTTGAAAATGGTCACTAGCCTTTGGCAGGCTTGGACCCTGCATGTCGCCGTGTCATTGTTGAGCAGCCTGCTATGCTCTGCTGACCTTGGGACTTACAGTGGACATAAGTAAGTTAATGGCCTTCCATGTGGATTGGTAACATCGGGACTATGCCTTATTATTTGTCAACCTTGGGGCTTCTCAGCCTCAGCAGCCAATAGCTGTCTGAGTGAAGAAATGCCTCTTAGCTCCAGTGGGCTGGGAGCAGGAGGCAGAGCTGGACCGATTGTTGAGGGGCTTTCCCCCAGCCCCTAGAGCCTGGCACTTTGAACATGGACTTAAAGCATCCAAATTGTAAAAATAAACTCCTGTTTGTTAAGGCCATCCCGTTGGTGGTATATTTCTCGTCAGAGCAGTGCTAGGTAGCCAGAACAATGGCACAGGAACAGACAGCTTTCTTTGTTCTTCCAGCAGTCTGTAAGACTGAGTATTATTCGTCAACGCAACAACTCAAAAAGACCACCTCTTCTTTGGTCTTCTTTATTCCCTTTCTAGCTTTCACATTCATATGACACACTTTAAAATACTATGCCTTGGGTTAGGCACATCTTAGTCATCAAGAGATGTTTTTGCTCTTCAACACTTTAAGGTGGTCTTGTACAGGAGATTTGCCCAGGGAAATACATCATCTGATTTCTTGACTGCTGCTTCCATGGGTTCAGAAAATTTTTACAATGCAACATTTTCATCAATTTAAGATATGGAATATTTTACACATTCTTCACTTTGACGCAATTACTAGGAAACCTAGTATTCTACATCAATAGTAACTATAATAGTAATATAAATTACTAGATAAATTGACCAATGAAAGATGGGATAAATCAGAACAGAAACCATGCACATTCACCGTGTCTGATGATGATGAAATGAGAACAAATTTGTTTCAACAGCATGTTTCCTGTCTTTAACAGAAGTCATAATGGAAAGATCCTCTATGAAAGTAATGAACATAGTCTGTGTGGGAAAAGCTTCAGCCATGTTCCAGATCTTGCTGTGGTACAGAGGAATCCTCCAGATGTCACTCCTTTTCAATCCTGTGGGTGGGGAACTGCCTTCATGGACCAGTCATCACCTGTGTGTCACACCAGATCTTCCTCCACAGGCAATACCTGTCACTGTATGAAATGTGCTGCAGCCTGCAGTTGTCCCTCTCAACGAACCACTCCTGTGAAAACTCTTCAGGGAAAGAAGCCCCACAAGTTTAATGTATACAGGAAGGAATTTTGCATGTCAACCCTTAAGTTTCCTGTGACAGTATCCACTGGTGAGAAAAGCTATGAATGTGAGAAATGTCGGAAGTATTTCTGTAGTTTCTCATCCTTTTGTACCCATGTGAAAGGTCATAAATGTGAGTGTGAAGCATGTTGTAGAATCAGCAGTCATCCATTATCCCCTATGTTTCATCCAAAATATCACATGACAGATAAGGGTTATGAATGTATGGAATGTGGAAAATCCTTTAGTCGGTCTTCAAACCTCTCTGTACATAAAAGAATTCACAGTGGAGAGAGGCCCTATGAATGTCAGGAATGTGGGAAAGCATTTAGTCATCCCTCACACCTCCCTGTACATAAAAGAGTTCACAGTGGTGAGAGGCCGTATGAATGCAAGGAATGTGGGAAGGCATTTAGTTGTTCTTCTACCCTCTCTGCACATAAAAGAATTCACACTGGAGAGAGGCCCTATGAATGTAAAGAATGTGGTAAAGCATTTAGGAAGCCCTCAGGCCTCTCTGAACATAAAAGAGTTCACAGTGGACAAAGGCCCTATGAATGTAAAGAATGTGGGAAAGTATTTCGTTATCACTCAAATCTCCTTGTACATAAAAGAGTTCACAGTGGAGAGAGGCCCTATGAATGTAAGGAATGTGGGAAAGTATTTCGTCAGGCCTCAAACCTCTCTGTACATAAAAGAATTCACAGTACAGAGAGGCCCTATGAATGTCAGGAATGTGGAAAAACATTTAGTCAGTCCTCAAACCTCTCTGTACATAAAAGAATTCACAATGGAGAGAGGCCCTATGAATGTAAAGAATGTGGAAAAACATTTATTCAGTCCTCAAACCTCTCTGTACATAAAAGACTTCACAGTCGAGAGAGGCACTATGAATGTAAGGAATGTGGGAAAGCATTTAATCAGCCCTCAAGCTTCTTTATACATAAAAGAATTCACAGTGGAGAGGCCCCATGAGTAAGGAATGTGGGAAAGCATTTGGTCAACACTAAGACCTCACTAGATACATAAGAGGTCCCAGTGAACAGAGGCCCTATGAATGTAAGAAATGTGGGGAAGGATTTCATCAGCCCTCACAGCTCTCTGAACATAGAAGAACTCACAGTGGAGACAGGCGCTAGGAATTTAAGGAATGTGGGAATGGCGTTAGAAATTCCTCTGACATCACTTGTTATTTAAGAAGTCACAGTGCTGAGAGGCCTCACTAAGAGCAATGTGGAAAAGTCTTTAGGCATTTATCACAGCCGAGTCAAAATACAAAAATTCACAATTGGGGAAGGTGTTATGAATGTAAGGAATGTGGGAAAACTTTTACTCATTCTTGTTTTCTTTCAGAACACACAAAAATTCACAGTTGAGAGAAGCCTTATGAATGCAAGGTATTTGGGAAAGCCTTTTGTCAAAAGTCAAACCCCACTTTACATATGCTAGTTCACAGTGGAGAAAGGTCTTATGGCTATAAGTGATGTGGGAAAGCCTTTAACAATTACTCAGCCCTCACTGTACATATTAAAACTCACAGTGCAGAGATCCCTTTTGAATGTGAGCAATGTGGGAAAGCCTTCAGCGATTCCTCAACCCTCACTGAAGGGAAGAACTCACAGGGGAGAGAGGCCTTATGAATTGTAAGAAGTTGGGATACCCTAGAGTTGGTCCTTACATCTCACTTCTCAAGAACTCACATTGGAGACACTTTTGTGTCAAGATTGAGATGTTTTCACCTTCCTGTTATAATTTGGAGTACCAAATTCTTGTAAATCAGCCCTTAAAGAACAAAGTTTCTCAGTGAGTAAGAAAATAATACCACCTCAAAGACTGGGTGATTAAAACTACTTTGTGGCTTTGCAAGAAATGATTTTTATTGTAATTGTGGGACCATCCTTAGCAGTGTTTCTTCTTTTTTCAGTACAACCTTTTCTCTTTTTCATAAGTCTTTGCCTTTCACAAATAAAGGGACAGGAAATAGCCTTTACCAAATATGTTTTAATTTTTTTTCACTTTTTAATGATGTTATTTCACATACATTTGAATACCCTAACCATTAAAAATCCCTTATCTTGTGTTACGTGCATCTTAGTATTCAAAGAGATGTCTTTGCTCTTCAGCACTTGAAAGAGGTCTTCGCAACAGATTTGCCCAATGAAATACATCTTTTGATGTCTTGACTGCTTTTTCCATTGGTGTTGATTTGTACCTCCAGGTAATATGAACTCCTTGACAACTTCAAACTTTTCTCCATCTATCGTGATGCTGCTTATTGGACCAGTTGTGAGGATTTTTATTTTCTTCATACTGAATTGTAATCCATAATGTAGATTGTCATATTTAATTTTCAATCTGGTGTTTAGCAAAGAATATTTTCTATACTAATCATTTCTTCCAAAGAGTTTGTTACACTCTGTATGTAATGTGACTCAAATATCTCTTTCAGTGTGTAGCATACATAAGTGCCTTTGTATACATAAAAACCATTGTAGACTTTTAAGTATTCTATTGTACTTGCAAGGGTGATACATAAAAATGTGTTGATGAATGTTACAAACTAGCACCTACTTGTTAATATAATCTATGTCCATTATCTTGGAATTCCTGTTGGTTCACCTCCCCCACTCCCAACTTAAAGAACACAGCAGACAGGCTATATGGGTTTTGTACATGTAGACCTACACTGGGGGTAGGGGAGGTATGGAAGAGACGGAATTGCAGAGAATGGAACCTGCCCTATACAGTTGCACATGAAAGATCATGGGGATGTTGGTCTGTGCCTGGATCCAACTGATGGGACTGAGCTGCATGTAGACAGTGTGTCACCAGTGTGCAAGGATGTGGGGCTTGCATTCCTAGAGGAGGCAATCTTCCTGTGGAAGAACCTTAATGGTAGTTGTGTTGTAACTATGGATATTGGATAAATGGGACATTGTTTGCCAGTCACTCCCATACAGTGTAAACCATCTTACATCTTTCTCATTTTTCTTGCACATATTGTTCCAGATTTGGTAACTACAGCTCCTTTTAGTAGGTTTCTGCATTTTTGGACTTGTTCTCATTAAAAATTGTACACGTTCAGAGAGTGCCCAAGACTCCTCTTGTCCTTTTCCTGTTTGAGTTCTGTAATCAGATTTTTTACAAGTAACTGATTCCTTTCATTAAAGAATGATATTTGTGCTCAGAGATCTGGGAATTATTTGTGTTTTCTGTTTTTGGGAAGGAGTTCTGGTGGCCTAGTGGGTAAGGCATTTGACTGCTGACCAGAAGTTTGGCACTTCAAATGTACCTGCTACAGTGCAGGAGGAAGATGGGGCACTCTAATTGAGTAAAGACTTACAGCCATGGAGACCCAATGTAGGGTTGCTCTAAGTTGGAAACAACTTGATGTCACTGAGTATTGTTACTAGGAGCCCTGATGGCACTATGGGTACTTACCCAGCTGTTCATCATCAATAGATCAGCAGTTGAAACCAATAGACTCTCTGCCCTTTTGCAAATGACAGTGAAGGGGTAGATGGATTTTGCCAGTGAGGTGCTATCCTATGGCTGCCACATTATCTTGGATTTTATTTGATTGGTCTTGTGTACGTAACATGTTGACTGCTGAAACAATCGCCTTGGCCAGAGTTCTCTTAATACGAGGCATGGGTCACTAGTCTATTGTTACATCTGGGAAGTAAGGTCAGACTTACGTGAAGGATTTTAAATGTATGGAAGGGGGAGCAAGTCTCACAAAGAACATCAGAGGATCATTACCAAAAGAAGGATGGAGTCAAGGCAACTGGTATCACTGTTAGACAGTTGACCCGTTATGGAGGAGGCAGTGTGCTTTACCTGCAGTTTCATGTAAGAGAACACTGAGGCTGAGCGAGCGAAGTGATTTCACACAAAAAGTTCATAGTTGGTACATGGCATAGCCGGAATTTAGACTTTAAAGTTGTAACTGTGAGACACCACACTAGTCAGTGTTCTTGACAATAACGACCTTAGATAATACTGTCTTATGGTATTTGAGTGCTTTTCACCCTCAAGTTTCATTACTGCCCTTTCTCCTAGTGCAAGTTAGCAGGATGATTAATATGTAATATACTCAGTTTTATAAAATCTTTGTGAAAGTTTTAATAACCAAGTTATCCTCCAGCCAACCAACTCTAAGATGTCATACACTTTTCTTGCATATATTTTCCATATTGCCCAACAGCATCCTCTTTGAGGTGGTAATTTTCCTCTCATTATGATGTGAACATGGAGCAACATTTCCCAAGGTTGTGGATCCCTTAACTATGGTTCTTTCATCCAGAAATAAGTCAAAGCCATCTGATTTCATTATATTTCCCTTAGTTTTCACATGTGTTCTCACCCACCTTCTCCTACCTTCACAAGAATAGAGAACTGAGCCAAGGTATAGAAGACATGAAGAAATATTGAACATCTTGTCCTAGTTGACATTTATTGAAAAGCTTGCCCAACAATAGGAGCTATGGTGGCATACTGCCTTAAGGCACTGGAGTGTAACCAGAAGGCCGGCGGTTCCAATCCACCAAGCAGTCCCCGGAATATTGAGCAATCTGCTTTCATAGTGATTCTGCCACCCCCAAGGAGGGGTCACTGTGAGTCAAATCTGACTCAAAGGCAGGGAGTTTGGGTTTTTTGGTTACCCAACAACAGCAGAAACACATTATTTCTAAGAGTTCTTGAAATATTCAGCCAGATACCCTATGTACTGGGTTCTAATAGAGACTTGAACAAGAGAACAAAAATGAATAAATGATGAAGAAAAATTGTGGTTTATTCATCCATTGAAACAGAACATAGCAAGAACAAAGTAACAAATTGCTGGTATGTGCAATCAAAACCAAGCTCACTGCCATTGAGTCTATTGAGACTCCTAGCTGCCCCTTTTGGGTTTCTGAGGTTGTAAATCTTTACAGAAGTAGATTGCCCAGTCTTCCTTCCATGGAGTGGCTGGTGGGTTGGAACCACTAACATTCTGGTTAGCTATCGAATGCCTTAGACACTACACCAGCAGTGCTCCTTGGTATGGACAAGAGAGTAGATAAAATCTCACAGATAGTATCCTGACTAGATGAAGTCAGAGAGTGTAACTTATACCCAGTATTATCCCCATATTAGGTAGTCCAAGGATATGCAAATCATGATTGACAATAACAGAAGACATGTTACTGCTACGGTGACTATCAACTGTGAAAAGGGTAGCAGAGAATTTTTTTTAGTTTTTATTGTGATTTGGGTGGATGTTTACAGAGCAAATTCGTTTCCTGTAAAGTTCATACACATTTTGCATCATGAAATGGACTGCACTTCCCCACAATGTAACAGGTCTCTTCCCACTTCCGCTCTATAGTTACCTCTTCCCTGGGTTTGTCCTTCTTTCCTATCCATTTCTGTCTCCTGAGCTATTTCCCTGTGCACATAGTGCCTTTCTGTTCTCCCATGATTGACTGTGCTAAGGATTTACCTACTTAATGTAAAAAATGTTCACCCTATATACCTTTCTTTTGTTTGGCTGGAAGGCATGGGACTGAGTGGAATTCCAGAGCAATTCCAGAAGGTTAACAAGGGACCATAGTTTCAGGGGTCTCACTAGACTTTATTAGAACAGTAAAACTGTTTTTTTTTTGTTTGTTTGTTTTTTTAATTTTTAGTTTTGTTCCACATTGTTCTCCCCATCTGTGCAAGATCTTGAAGGAGAGTGCATGTGGTGGAAAATTTCCCTAAGTTGATCTCTAATAAGGTTATGGATGGCTACATCCATAGCACCTAAGGCTTTGGACTGCTTACCAGAAGGCTGGTGATTCAAATACACCAGCCACTCCAGAAAGGAAGACTGTAATCTACTTCTGTAGAGACACTGCCTTAGAAACCTGAGGAGGGGGTCACGAGGAGACTAGGATGAGTAGATGGCAGTGAGTTTTTTGGTTTGGTTTCAATCTCCATTTGTGGCTGATGAGAAATACTCAACACGAGTGCTGCATCGAGAACA